GGATCTTTGAAATGAAAACCGCTATTACTAAATATTTGTTTGTAATTTATACTTCAGAGAAGAAAGGAGGAAAAAACATTGATTCAAATCGGAAATCAGATTTGATATGAATAAAGTTTTAGATTTTAATTTAAGACATATCGCCCAGCTCTGGCATGGAAGGACACAAGTCTTTCCAAACAACCTTCCTGTCGCTGGTCATAACGTTATGCCTGATCCCTGTTCAGTGAGACTATGTCCTCAAAGCTTGCTGTGTCAGTGGACGCGGAGGATCTTATGCACTGCTTTCTGTTCCAACACTTTGTTAAACAGTAAGTAATTGCCCTCGACTGAGGCCAGCTCTTGTGGGAATGTTGTTTATTTCTGGTATGTGCTAAGAGATAAAAGCAGGCCAGAACCTCCATTGTAATCTGGGCTTCTGGGCCACTCCATTGCCGAAAGGCTCCTGAGGAGCTGACAGTGAAACGTAGAACCAGGCAGGGGACCGGCAGTCCGCACCAGCCTGATGTTGGACTCTAAGTCCTGCCAGAAGGCCCCGGTGATTTCTGGCCATCGTGTGGTAATTACTAACGTATCTGCAAGAAGCCGGCTGACTAACTGGTCTTGGCAGACCACAAAAATGAGAATGCTGAAGTAATTACGTTGCTTTAAAGTCATGCTAATCTTAAAGATGTTGTGGGAGTCATTACGAGGGCAGCTTCGAGAAACTCATGAAAAGAATGTAATAGGGAGGACCACATTAGTCGAACTGTCAGAGATTAAACGTCGGTGATTCAGAAGAGTTGGCGAGGGGAAGAAGTGGCTCACATGTCAGCTATCTTGACTTCAAATGCTTTTTTTCCTCCCCCCTTAGGGTTGAAAACAATCAGAGCTACTTGTGTGACCTTTACGCAGGAGCGTGCCGATGTGTTTAGAGTTCCTGTTTGAAATATGCCCGTTATTTTCCCCAGGCTCAAGAAGACAACCGCTGGAACACGTGAAACGATGTTAAGTAACTGAGTGCGTCAGCTTGGATGCAGACGGAACAGCGGGATAATCCTAAATGTTAACTCTGCTACCTCTCTACAGGAAGACGAAGAGTCGTCGGTCACGCCTCCCTCCGTCCACAAGAACTTTTCGAGGCCCGCCCGTCCTGCCAACCGTCGCCTCCCCTCCAGATGGGCCAGCCGCTCCCCCACTTCGTCCTCCTCTCCCTCGTCCTCCCCGTGCACCACGCCCGTCGTCCCTGCTTCCTTTCCCCTCCAGAAACACTCTTCCTCCTTCTCTTATGCACACGGCTTTCACATAGAGACCGTCATCATTTGAAACTCCACGTTGTTGTGTTTTGGAACCAACCAGAAGCCTTCACTGACAAACGCCGAAGATTCGATCCTTTCTCTTTTTTGTCTTGCACACACCAAATCAATACGAAGGACAGAAAGTTTCTTCCGAATGTATTCATCGACATCCTGTGGAACGTACCTGCTAAAGGAAGGCGAATAACTCCAAACAGCTACGAGTATCGTCATTATGACCCAGCTAACCTGCCAGGTGTGATGGACAGCATCTGAATGAATATTCTGCTCGGCTCTGGATTCCAGCGTTGACCACTAGCGCAGCTTCACTGATCTACTAATAACAGCTTTTCACTAATTTATCTCTGCTACAGACTGGATTTACAACCTGAAGCAAAAAACTCTGGTTTGAATTCAAATGTATGCTAAATGCATCAGTGCGTTGAGCTCAGACGTGGAGAGATGGAGCAACGATTTCTCTGCGCATGACTTCCCTACCATAAAGTGCTCTGCAGCACATGACTGGACTGTACCTTGACTGTGACCAGAACATTTTTTTTTTCATTGAATTTTGACTTTGTTTATTATTGTGAAGCAAAAAACAAACAAAAAAACACATTTACTTTTAGTAAGAGCTGCATAAAAATAGACCTTTTTTAACATGTACCAAAGGCTGGTTTCTTGTGCATTTTCCAGATTTTTAAGTGCATTGTTTGGAATAAAACTTCTCTTTTTTGCTGTAGCTAACATTTTTTTAAGGTTTGTGTGTAAACTGTATTTACAAGTCTGATTTTTTTCTTGCGTAACACATGCTCCTAAAAAGAGAAAGGAATGCCTTTTGTTTTTTACTCTGAATAACTAAATGCTCATCTTTGAGGATGTTAACCTGCTAAGTAGTGTTTTTTTATGGCTGAAAGGTGGTGAAACGCGATGCCTTTGCTCTTGGGTTTGTATAATAAACAATATTCCAAAAATGCCTCAGCTTGTCGTTTTTCACACGTTGTCATGTTAAAACCGCAAAACTTTAATGTACTTAACCTGGGATTTTAAGCAGAAAACTGAAATAAAGTAGGGCCTAGCTGGGAACTTGGAAAAAAACTGATTTGTGGTTTTCACTTTAAGAAAAAAAAAACAAAGATCTGAAAAGTGTGGCTTGAGTGAACATTTGTAATCCCACCTTTCATTGTAGTGACAGCTGCAGATATTTGGAGTCATCTAGAAACTGAAATGTCTGCCTGCATAAAAGCTAGTGGCTGCAATCTGGAGGAAGCTGAAGGAGTTTGGGATGCTTGGAGAAGATGCTAAGTTGTTATGTAATGTTTTGCAGTGTACTAATCAATAGCCTAAGATTTTATTATTAATGTCACTTGAAGTCTAGTATTTTGCTGATGGCAGAGGTGCACTGCATCCTCAGTCCTAAACTTTACCACTCTCACATAAATATTCACGTTAAACCCAGATGATTTGTATGCAACACTGCAGCCGACAAACTGAAGCACCAGAACCAAACAGCTGTCTGGCTTCCTTTGCTCTTTTACCAACTTGCAGATGTCTTCAGTGACACCCTGATCTGCTCCTCTAAGTAATATCTGCACAGGAACTGAAATATGGAGAAAAAAAAAAAAACTTAACATTTTTAAAACTGCATATGATCTGACAAATTATCACTTAGCTTTCTTTATTGCATTTTTCCAGGACTGTTGAGAAATTTAAAGACATGCTACTCTGAGTGGGACAGACACCCACCACGCCCCTCACCCTGAAACCTGGCACCCTTTGCTGATGGAAATAGCAGGTGTGGCTGTGTTGTGGAGCCAGAAATCTTACCCCTCTCCCGATAGATATATAAATATTTTCATTCTCTCCTGAAGCTCGCCCGATCTCCGCGCCAAATGTCTCATCCTGCTTTTCTGTGTCAAGGTTGGGAAAGAGGGTTAATTCCCAGTAAAGACCTGTGCTGGTGTCTGGAGGCCTCCAGATGGTGCGACCATTATATAACCAGTGCTGACTGCCTGCAGGCCAGAGCTGCTTGAAATCACAGCACTGGAAAGAATTTCTGCAGCGATCTGCGTTTGATCAGCCCAGCAGAGTGACAGCGGTGGCTTATTTTCTAGACACAAAGCGCAGAAGCAAACACTACCGCAGGATCATTTTGCTGTTGGAATAATAACCGCGTCTCTATTTCTGTTTTTAATCTGAGGGGTCAGCAGTGTTTGTCCAGCTGATCACAATCATACCGGTGACAGAAAATGTACGGATTTCATTTTTCCAAGATGGCTTGGTAGAACCATGATCTGCTTCCTGCCAGTTGTTTTTGCACTAACCTCCAACCTTGTGGATCATAGTTTATTTTGAAAAAACCTTATGTACTAACCAGACACTTCTTTTTTAGGTACAACCTAAAGTCCTTTTTTTTCTTTTTAGAATTACCTAATTACATAAATTCAACAAGATGGAAATGTTCATTTATTTATTTTAAATAGACATTTACTTATAATAAGAATAGTACACCACTGCTGCAGCAATTTTAATCTGCACATCCACAATGTGAGTCTTCTGTTCCACTGTTTTGGAGATGCTCTGTTTATTTGATATTTAAAGATGATCAGACGCAGCATATATGATGATTGTAAATTCACATAATCATATAAATAATTGCTATAAATTTCACAAAAACAAAACAAAAAAACACATTCAGACAAGCTTGCATGATTCTTGTTGGTCATGTAATTTGACTATCAATAATTCAAAAGATGCAGTCTCATTCATAAATCAATCCATTCCCTGTACTCAGTCCTATCTTTGTGTTTCCAGTTACGAAGCTGCAGTGAAACCAGTCTAAAGGACATGCGTGTCCAGAGATGCTCTGTTGAAATGAGGCCTTCTTGCAGCAAGGCACCAGTCTACAGACTGCTCCACAGTGAAACTAAGACATGTTAAAATTTATGAAATAGATTTTTGTGGTGATTTGGCACTGGGTAAATAAATTCAGCTCTCAATGTGCGTGGCATATCTTATCTCAGGGCTGCTTTTAAAACCAGGGTGACTGCAGCACATTCTAAGACTTCCTGTGAAGGACAACTCCTTATTGATCGGCACATTGTGTATCACTTTACTGACCGCCGACAGCACACACACAGTCATATACTGTTGTGCATGGGGCACCATTTGTGCATGCATGTGTAGCTCTTCCTCTGTACCTTCCACTTTGCCAAACTGCAGCCAAGATGTCCTCTCTCATGTCCCTGTACTCACTCCAATAAAATATCCCGTATTAAATCCTCTCCCATATCCTGATGCCCCCTGGTGGTGGGTGAGGGGAAGTTACATACTTCTGCCTCTACTGTAAAAAGAAGTGACTTCTCTTAGCTGTTATATTATATACTCAATGCTCACGTGAAAGACACAAGAGGCCCACTCTTTTGTGGCTCAGGAGAAAAAGCACATTTATATTGGGAGCAGAGAAAACGTGAAAGGCAGTTAATTCTCTTGTCAGATGCCGGGAATTTTAATTGTGTTAGAAAACTACAGGTAAAAGTATGAACTCGTGCAGGCTTTTACTTGTAAAACAGACAATAAAACACTGGGGTCATTGTGATTTCACTTCCGCCAGAGTGGTTTAAAATTCGCTGTGGGGCGCCATCGCGTGGCGGAATTCGGAAACTAAACAAACCCACGCCCAAGCGGGCCTTGTTTTTCTCCTGCTCTTGTTCCTGGTGGTGCAGATTTAACGGCGGCACCACACGGCTGTACAAGGTTGGTTTTCCTCTCGACCCTTTGGTCTTTGTTTGTCTGTGCAGAAACACTGAGTTTCTCTTCTCTTTGTGCCAAGTTGCAACCAATAACCTGAGCGCTCTGTCTTCATTTGAAGGAGAGTGAAAACGGCTTCTTGGGGGCATTTTTCAGAATTAAAAATGTAAACATTACTTTCTGTGAATAAACACCATGATGACACTTCTTATTCTACATCTTCTGCCTTGTGGTTTTACCAGCTTTGCACATTTAGAGGCTGATTTTTTTTCCTGTTTTTCCTCAAAAGACTCAAATTCGATGGAGAACATCTTGACACAGATTCCCTGTTCAGTTCAGGTCTGAAGTTTGACTAGGGACTGAATATGAAGCAACTTCACTAAAAATAAATACATAAACATTGAATAGTTTTGCAAAGTGCTGCTCTACTCATAGCCTAAATACACTACATTTTAAAACGATAATATAGAAATCAAATTGCTCTTATCGCCGGATTCAATATGACGTCTTTGTGAAAGTGATGCGCTGCAGGTAAACGACTTTTTCTCCCTTTTCAGTCGTCAAGCGGCATCAGCAGCACAAACAGCAGCAGCAGCAGCACAAACAGCAGCACCAGCAGCTGCAGGATCAGCAGCAGGATCAGCATCAGGATCAGCATCAGCATGGTCCTCTGCGCCCTGGCCAGACAGCTCTTGAGAAGCAGCAGCTGCTGTGCTCTCATGGTCAGGTATTGAAGAAAACGAGCTCAGCTGTTCACCGTCTTAACCTGCATTTCTACAGAAAATGCATTCTCCCTGGGAAGGAAAAAGCTACAATTCAGCGATTTCCAAAGCCATCCTATGCCTCTCACTCACACAGACTCCTGTCCGTGTTACTTTGTTGTCATTGACTGTGGCTTTCAAACATCTTTCTGGTGGAAGAAGTGAGTGTTTAAAGGGCGCCTCTCTGTCCCCGCAGGTTGCAGACGTCGAGCCGCCGCCGCTGCTGCCTTTACTCCAGCACCCAGGGCTTCAACCAGGAGGAGATCAGACAGAAGCTGCTGGCCTTCCCTGGAGGCTCCGTCGACCTGCTGAAGCAGGACTCTGGTGTGGCTGTGCTGACCATCAACAACCCCGCTCGCAAGAACGCCTTCTCCGGTACCATCGCTTAGATGTTTGGTGTCAATTAATCTATCAGTTCCTCTGTCAATCAATCAGATTTAAAATAAGATTATTTTAGACAATATTAGAATTACTTTGAAAGTGCAAATAAACAAATACATTTGTTTTTAAAAAGGAAAATAATAATTGTACTGCCTAAAAAAATAATAACATTATTCCTTTAATGCATGCTTGATCGTTTGTGGCAAAGGATGCATCAGCCTGTAAAATGTAAAAAGTTCAACCATTTTTTGGGGGGTCACTTGATAATAATAATTAATATTTGGATAGCAAAAGGTGCTTAATAGGATAATTTTATAATTATTTTTTACATAATTGAACCAGGTGTAACTAAAACTATGAGGAGTGAGAAGTTTCATTTATTATATTGAATTTACATAAATTTGCATAATCAATTGGTGCTCTGAATTTTCAGAAAATGGTGGGTTTCTTAAAATCCAATTAACCGTTAATTGATTGCTAAATTAAATGACAGTCATTTCATTAATCCACATTTTTTTTCAGCCCTAGTTTAGTGTGCTGTTTCAAGTCGTAGTCTTTACGGTCCAGTCTGGTGTTTTGGGTTTTGCTCCTCCTGCCAGGCAGCATGATGGTGGACCTGGAGGAGAAGGTGAGCCAGCTGGAGAACTGGACTGAAGGCAAAGGCCTCGTCGTTCGGGGCGCTGCCGAGACATTCTGCTCCGGGTCCGACCTCAACGCAGTCCGAGCGATATCCAGCCCCCAGGTACCTCTGACCGGCCGCGTTGTTTTAGCCGTCTGGACACACCTGAACGGGTTTGTTCTTCCCTCATAGGACGGGATGAAAATGTGCATGTTCATGCAGGACGCTCTCACAAGACTGCTCAGGTAAACACTCACGTTTAGCAAACTGCAAATGAAGAAATAAGCACATTTTATTGATTCTCTGACTTAAAACAATTACAATATTTAAGAACGGGCATCGCCCAGGTTCATCTTTAGCGGCTTCTTAAGCTTTGAAGGAAATATTTACAGAGTTTCAAATCACCACAGATTTGGCCCATTTTCATCAAAGTTTAAGTTAAATGGGAAATGCCACCGTTCAGTGACGCATGGTGGTGGCAGCGTCATGCTGTGGGGTTTCCTTCAAGGCGCTGTTTCTGATGTGTGTGCTGACAGAGTGGTGTTCTCAGTGCAGGCTGCCCCTGATCTCTGTTGCCCTGGTGGAGGGCAGAGCCTTGGGAGGAGGCGCAGAACTCACCACCGCCTGCGATTTTAGGTAAAGAGCTTCCACTTTTGGTTTGTTTCAAATATATATATAAGAAAATGTTTTTACATTTAGAAATTAATATAAAAAGGGTACAATAATATTCCAATGCACATTACATTTTACATGGTGTACGTCTCCACCATATAAAATGGTGTTGTTTTTTTTTCTGTCACACTTAAATGTTTCAGATCATCAGACATGTTTGGATATCTTTCAAATAACCCTAGTAAAAATTTAATCCAGTTTTCAAGAGATTGTTTATGCCCAGGCATGAGGATGATTGACAGCACTAAGACACTCCTTCTGGGTCTGATTGGTACTTTGTGACTGATATTTTTTCAGATGGCAGTCGGACACAGATTTCACAGATCATTCGTTTCCTATAAAGATGTCACAACATAAGCATAGTTTTAACAAATATGTAAAAAAAAAAAAACTATTTTTTTATAAGTGACACACTGCAGCTTTAATAAAGTCAATCATTGTTTGAAAATGCTTTTTATTTTACTCTGCAAGAATAAAATTTGAGTATTGATCTGAAATATTTCAGTATGTCAAAAATAAGCAAAAACAGAAAAAAATGTGTGGTTATTTTTTGTCTGTTTTTTTATGAAAATGTGTCCTAAATGTACCAATCTTTCTGACAGATTAATGGCAACAGGCAGCGTGATCCAGTTTGTCCACAAACACATGGGTCTGGTCCCAGGCTGGGGCGGCGCTGCGCGACTCGTCCGCATCGTTGGAAACCAGAATGCTCTCAAGCTGCTTGGCGGCGCCGTGAAAGTGGACCCCAAAAGCGGCCTGGACGTCGGACTGGCAGACGGAGTCCTGGAGGCCGACGGGGACAACCCCTTGCAGCAGGCCGAAGACTGGCTCCGTCGCTACACCGAAGGACCAGTTCCTGTGATCCGGGCGGTGAAAAAAGTAGTGCTGGCAGGAAGAGAACTCCCCCTGCTGGAGGCTCTGCGGATGGAGAAGGAGGTGTTTGGGACCGTGTGGGGCGCTCCAGCTAATCTGCAAGCCTTGGCCAGCAAGTCCAAGCACAAATAACTTGGCTCCAGCGTCCTGAGATTTGTCCAGATTAGCAAAAATCAGTGTGTGCTGTTTCTGGGTTGGATTCAGTAAGAAGAGGCTGATTGGTGTTTGATGTTCCCAATCTTTGGTTCAATGAAACCATTTTAAAGCTCCAGTATGTAACTTTTACAAAAAAAAATATATTTTTTATATACTTGTTGAAACCGTCACCATGTTGTGAAGATATAGTATGAGACGGATAGTCTGTGAAAAAAATCGAGTTCTGTCCTTGTCCCATTGCTATCTATAAACAACCAATCAGAGCGAGGAGGCGGGTCTTGGTGCTGTCAATCATTGCCATGTGCGAGCATGTTGCGAATGCTAAGGCTAGTTAGCTTGGCCAGCCGATGACGGCGGTTTTCCTGAAATGGTAAGTATTTTCTCAACCATTAGCACTTTTAACAGCAAGTACATAAGGTTTGATTGACAGCGCTAAGACCCTCCTCCTGGCTCTTGGTACTGGAGATTGATTCTTTTCACAGATTATCTGTCTCATACTGTCACGACATGGTGATAGTTTTAAAAAAGCATATCTTGGAAATACATTTTTTGAATAAAAACAAAGCACATTCATGTTTAAATGGATGATACAAAATAACAAAAGTGGACTTACCTAGGGTTTAATTTTTTTTTCTTTGAAAATCTGTTTGCTTATGCTCTTTGCAAGATATTACAAGTGATAAACATCATTGATGTCTGCATATCATTCCTCTTACAATAGACCAGAGCAGCCTTTTAACTCACAGGGTTTGGATTGTGCTCTCAGCATCATGAGATTACTCCAACGAGCCGTGGTGTGTGTGTGAATAATTTTCATCCGGGGATTTATCCAAGCAGTGCTGGAAAACTACAGATGTGCTCAAACTGCAGCAGCAGAACCCATGGAGGCTGGCAGACCCTCATCTCGTGCTGCCGTTCCGGAGGTCGCGTTTGCTGGCGGCGGTCCAAGAGAGAGCGTTAAAAAACGCGCCGTGAGCAGAGTACCAAACGCCTACAAGGTGAAGAGAAAGTCCTGGTGAATAGCAACCCACCATGGAAATATCCTCCTGGAAAGCTGAACAATGTAGCAATGATAAACTTAAACTATATGAATGCATCAAAACACTTTTCAGTCTCATGCATAAAATGAATAACTGTGATTAAAAAACATTTCCATTTTACTGTATTGCATAATTTAAGGAAGATATGTTGAGATTTATGGTTTTATAGAAAAGCTATATATTTGTGCCAACAGTTGCAATGTTCACACTTCAACCAAAACTGCATGATTGTTGGGACTCATTAGTAATTAGTTAATTAGTAATCAGTCTCTTTACTTTAATGTTCTATTTAAAGAACATTAAACTACTGAACTCTTAACTACTGAAGAAGCTGAACTTCTACGAGGATCAGAATATTAGCCGTTCATAAGTCTTTATCAAGAGGAAATCAATTAGGGATAGGATTTTATCGTAATAAAAACTTTCCTAAAGAATTTGGACAATAAATTCTAAATGTTTGGATGACCCCAAGAATTGAATTATTTTTGTACCGTTTCATGAGTACATCACACTTTATGTAACTGGTATCCTGAAAAAGCCTGTTTAAAAATGTTTTGGTAAGAGCAGGATTTGGGGATGTGGACCTATGATTTCTATCGGGCCGTCAAGGATGTAGTTACCTTAAAAAAATGTTTCAGGTAATTTCCCTCTTATAATAAATACCACAAAATCAACTTTTAAATCCATATTCACCCAACCTGCCCACCTCCACCATCAATTTATCTGGAGTCTAAAGGTGTTGAGCTGCTTCTGTCCTGAGGGAAAAGTTTGGATTAAATTCTTCTAAAACTGGAAGACGATAAAGGATCCCGGATCAGTTTGGTGATTCTTATAATTATAATTATGACAAGTTTGCTTTACAGTTTAACTTATTGATCTCCATTTAAAGCTTTGAATACTATTACATAAATTCAAAAGTTTACTGAGCCCTAAACGAGATAAATTAGCTCTTCTATTGTCAGACGAGTGACGTATCAGATCCTGACATTTCTACAATAAAATACATTTAATTACATCAGTAAGATAGCAAATACTAAAATGATCACAAATATGTTTTTAGCATGATGAAATGAAAAAGGTTTATTCTTAAATTACAAACCATGTAACAAAAGTTTGAAGCCAAAACAGTTACACAAACTATTCTCCAAAATGGAAAGTAAAATGAAAAAAAACAAACAAAAAAACAGATGATTTAATAGAAAAATAACATCACTTGAAATTCCTCCAAGATGGGCAAAAACTAGAGCTTGTTTTTGTTCTTTTATGTCCTCTGACATACATTTAACCGCCATAAGAAATAGAGATAAGAAAAACCAATCAGTTCTCCACATCCTCTCAACAGACAGTAGTGTTCAAATAACTCTCTTCAAATAAAGGAGAAATCACAAAACTGGGCACACTTGAGAATTGATCAGTCAGGGATGTTGGGGACAGTAACAGAGCTGCTTTAAAGTAAAAAAATAAAACAAACAAACAAACAAACACCAATATTTCACATTAAAATGCCAATTCCTTAAGGCTGGGCACCAATAAAACAAATGACCACAACTTCTAATGCTTACATTCATTTCAAATACACATCAATCTTTACAATAAGTTTCAATGAACTAATCTGAAATGAAAAATAAATCGCAAGGCAGCCACACACTGACCTGCCTCCTAAATCTGCATTGTTAAATATTACACAAGTAATTTAAACATGAAAGTCGCTTTAGAAGCATGATGGGAGTTCGCTTTTTTGTTTTCTATCTTATTGTAGATAAAACCAGACGAGGAACATTAGCTCAGTTAATTGTTTAATTATCGGCCCAGAGAAAGCAGCTGATTGGATTAGAAACAAGGATCAAGTAGATCGAATTCAGTGCAATGGAGGTTGAGTCAGGTGACATTTCTGCGTCAGCCAAACTGTTAAGATGATCACAAAGCAGCCATTTATGAAGACGACCGCTGTCTGACTCAGCCTCACAGAAGCCTTCAGGGTTCTGGACCGTAGATGTAAACCAGGCTTAGATTTGGGCAAAACGGGTTTGTGAGTTAAGTTCACAGTGTAGCTTCAACGTCTAAACAGAATACAATCTATAGGCATCAAATCAAAGTAACGCAGATGACTGACAGGACGTTTTTAACCTCTCATGATGATGATGTGTTAAATATAAACTTGTAAGATCATTTACATCCCAACCACGTCGTCTCTGTCTCAGTTTGAGAGCATGAGCGGCTGACTGGCGGCACCGATGAAGACGCTGAGAAAACAAATCTAAACCAATAGACAGGAAACGCTAGAAAAGAACGGCAGAGCTGTTTGTGTGTGAGCGTGACATGCCTCACTTCTCCCACCTAAGATCTGCAGCATAAATTAAATGGAGTGGATTCACACCTCAGTCACTGTACACTGGCCGTCTGGCATCCTGGACCTCCCGCTGCTGTGGGCGGACGGAGGAGGGGAGGCCGACGCGGCGCGGGGGGTCACCCTGTCCTCCGGGGGCGGTCTCCGTCTGCGCGGCCAGTCCTCCCAAGGCTCCGATTGGTCGCCGTCTCCCCCCTCTTCTTCCTCATCCTCCTCCTCTTCGTCGTCGCTCCAGTCTCCGGAGGCAGACTCCTCCACGGAGGTGTGAGGGTCTGAGGACCTGGATGGGGACGTCTCCTCCTGGTCGTCATCCTGCCCCTCTCCCTCCCCGCCCCCTGACCGGTCGTGAGGCGGGGCCGACCTGGGGCTGATCTGCAGCTGGGAGAGAGAGTCCTCCACCGAGGGGCTGGTACCGGGCCCTGGCTGGTCCCCGAGCGACATGGGGGGCCGGGTGGCAGTGGAGGGGACTGGAGCGGCGGCGGGGACACCTGCGGCCTGCGGCGGAGCGCCTGCCGTCGTGGTGTCGGCACCATCTGCAGAGTTCTCCCGACCCGCCGAGCTCAGTGCCCCGGCAACAGCGTCCACGTCCAACCGCAGCCCGGCAACGCCCTTCTTGGGAATATCGATAATGTCTCTTTTCATCTTACGCCGGCGGCCGTGCTCATTACGCCGGTACTGCACCATGTTCTCCAGGTCAGCGACGTACAGAAAGCCAGCGATCAGCATCTCGGCCGTCTTCTTCCCTTTGGAGAAGGCGTCCTCCAGCTCCCTGCTCGTCCTCTCGTCGTACTGCCACCAGCCGTTGCGGCCCTCGTAGTACCAGGCGTGGTCGCTCGCCGCCCCGCTGCGGCCGCCCGCCGACGCCTTCAGCTCCTCCGGAGAGAGGAGCGTGGGCCTTTCCAGGAAGTCGTCTGGCACTTCCTGCCTGCAGAGGGCGCATCGCTTGCTCTGCCAGGAAGCGCCCTTGACACACAGGAAACAGAAGACATGATGGCACGGCAGCTGGACGGGGTGGACACAGCTCTGCAGACAGATGGCACACTCCGGCACGGACAGGGCTGGGGACGAGCCGTTGGAGTCGGAGCAGGACGATTCGGCGCCGCTCCCGCTGCCGCCACCTCCAGCGCCACTGCCCTTCTTACTGGATGGGAGCGAGCTCACGGAGTGGTCGACCTCGCCACAGCTAGCCATCCTTATCGAGCGCTGCAGAACAGGAGACGATTAAGTTCCCCACCAGAAACCAGATGTTTACATACACTGCATTTGCAGTTGCATTTCCATTGACGGTAAAATTTCGCCAATGGGAATTACAAAGAATTAAATTGCCAAATGGAGACATGGGAATTTCAATAAAATGTTTTTGCTTTACGATGGATTGATTATTATTTTTAGCTGTATCAAAATGTGTGTATTTCCAAAAGCTGCAAAACAAGATGTTACTACCATTTAATAACTTTTCATACAAACAAACCTCGTCATATGCAATTTGACGGAGATATATGACTTTTCAAACAATTTTAATGTAAGTTTTCAAACTTTTCCACATGGAGATAAAAATGCATAAATAAATAAATAAATAAAAACAAGAAAAATTTTAATCAGAGTGAGCTCTCTTAGGAGCAAACTATCTTTGACATATTCTTCTTCGGTAACCTTGTCAACAAGAACTTAGACTGTTAGGAGAAAGTGAAGGACACATCAACACCGAATGTACTTTATGCGCTTAGAACCTTGGAAAACTTTCGTTTTTGTAAATAATTATGCCGTTTGAAAGACAGATGTGTTTGTTTATGAAATAGTACATAATCTTTTAGTTTAGCGTTAACTGTATCAGCTAGTTTTCTGTCACATTTCAATTACAAAAATGTTTTTTGTGTAACATTCAGATGTTTTTATTAGCTAGCGAAATCCATTTATGAAACATTTCAGTTAAGAATAGCAAGGCTTGGCTTGATTCATGTTATTAGCTGTTCGCTGACTATCTAGGTACACACAGCCAGATGTTGTGAGGACAGCACAGAAACATTTAACTGTTGCAGTGAGTTTCTTGCAGTCCTTCTGAGCATTTAGACTCAAAAAGTCCCCAAAACACGATGCTGCCACAGCCTACTATGACTACGGGGACGGTGTGCTCAGGGTAATCTCTAAGGCCAGTTCTCCACCACTATTTTGTTTTGCCTGTAGGTCAAAAAGTTAGGAGGACCGTGGTCTAGTCTGACTAAAGCGCTCTCTTTGCACATGTTTGCAAAATCTCCAACATGGCAACTTGTACGACTTATGGTGGTAAGACATAAGATGAACAAAGACCAAATTCTACCACAATTCTATACCACTTTCCATTGATCTAGCACAAAACATAAATGTAGTGTTTGTTGTGATGTAACAGGAGGATTATGGTAACACGTGCCTCGCTTTCACACACATGATTTTTTCAACACTTACCTAAAGTTGTCAATGCGGATGAATCATCGGGAGAGCTTCTGAACCTTCAAACCACCCACTGGAGAAACAAACAAAAAAAAAAAGATAAACAAAACAGATAAAACTTCAACAAACTAGAACATGATATGAAGCTGTTTGTGTTTTTTTCCACTCTACGAGGCAAAGAGGTGGATTCTTATTCTTGTATTTACAGGGAAAAACTTAAAAGTTCACGTTAACACATAAAGCTATGTGTTATTACATGAAGAGGTACAGTAGAGAAACAAAGGGATGCTCCGCTTACTCGCGACAATCAGGGAACTGTGCCACTTTTTTTTTTGCCAACTTCATCTAAGCTGTCCTTTAGATGGGACTTGTGACTGAAATAATAACAGAGCTTGTTGCAACACATACATGTAACACCGTATTGCGGGGAATTTGAAGAGAAAGGGTGTTTAGTCAACAAATAACAGCTGCGCAACAGCGTGTCATGTTGTTTTTAACCCGGGGGAGTTTAAACAGAGGTCACAGTGTAGAGTTCAAGAAAATCCTCCACGATCAGTAAAACCCGCCGTAGCTAGCCAAAGCTATCTGGGGCTAAGTGGTCAGCCTCCAGTAAATAGACGGATCTCATTTGACGGCGCTGCCTTCTTCCAGCAGGGCGATATAAACAGGAGAGTGGGGAACACAGGACACCACAACGATTGAATACCCACCATATCTTTAAATCTGTTTCTACTGGCCTTCTTCACGGTCGAAACTCGTCGTATCGGAGCCGTGCGAAGCGCAAGTACATCGACTTCCAATGTTGACTGTCTTTGTTTTCCTCTCAACGAGAAGCTGAGATAAACGACACAACGTCGGAGAGCGTCCTGACGTCACTGGACGTCCAATTCATATGATCCAATCACACGAGACGATGCATGAAAGCAGAGGGTTCGTTTTTATTTATTTATTTTATTTATTTTATTTTTTTAAAGGAAAGGCTAAAATAAAAATAAAAAATACAGATTTTTTTAAAATGGCAAATTAATGGAAAATAAATCAAAATAAAATAAAACATTTAAAAACAAAAATAACTCGCAATAATGAACAAATGGGTAAGGTTGAATTACTCTGGGTTCAGTGAGAATTAATAAACTGTGTATTTAAAAAAAAACAGGTTCTAAATACAGAAAAGACCGTCAACAGTGGGATCAAAAAATGGACTGGAGTGCAAAGGAGATAGAGTTCATATCAATTACAGAGAGATATGATCTGTTGAAGTTGGGGAAAATCACAAGACTGGCTTCGGGTAGGAATGCTGAGATTTCTTTCATGCAAGTGAAGCTTCATTTTTTATTTTTATCTTAGCTGTATAAAACATGAAAGACGCATAGAAAATATCAAGTTATTCAACAATAACTCTGTTTAACATGAAAGATATCTTAGTAAGACATAGTTCCATGTGCAGTGGATATGCATGAAAGATTGGACACGGGCATGCTTGAAAATGAAGTATTGCATGAATGTTAAATAGAAAGAAAGAGATACATGGCTTCTAGCACTTTTGTCGATACTGTCAAAGAGCTTAAACTCCATCAATATTGGACAAAGAACACATGTGAATGTCATTTGTTATGTCTTGCCACAGATTCTCAATTGGATTTAGGTCTGGGCTTTGGCTAACTTAGGCTAATCCATGAACATACCTTGATCTAAGCCATGTTTATGTTCTTTGTGTTTTATAGTTGTGTCCTACCATGAACCTCCATCAATCTTCCTGGCAACTCTGACTAGCTTCCCCTTCCTTGCTAAAGAACAGTCTGCTCAGAAGATGCTGCTGCTATGGTCAGTGTGTTCAGGGTGATGTTGAACATTAGTATTTCCTTCACACACAATGGTCTGCATTGTGTGTGAAAGGTCTAGGTAGTTAGGTAGGTAGGTAGGTAGGTAGGTAGGTAGGTAGGTAGGTAGGTAGGTAGGTAGGTAGGTAGGTAAGTAGGTAGGTAGGTAGGTAGGTAGGTAGGTAGGTAGGTAGGTTGATTTTATTACACAGACTCAAAGTCTAAATTTACATAAAAAAACAACATTTGGTCATTTGGTTCAATTCCTGTGGCAAAGTGCAAACTGTTCTTTTTGCTTATAATGAAAGTAACATTGGTTGAACTGAATCCTAATTAGGAATATCAAATTATAATATGCCAACAAATATGCATACTCGCTGCAATTTTCAGAGTTGAACATACATATTTATAGAAAGCTATTCATGCATTAATTTGTATTAAGCTCACACAGAAATTTCAATAAATTATAGCCTACTAATGAATATGGTTATAATGTGACATTTTTTAAAAATTATATATCAAATAATTTTTTACCTTATTGACATCATTTTTAGAAAGTAACATATCATAAATTCTTTTGCAGGGCACTGTGTGAGCGATCTAAACCACTCCCAAACAGTAGATGGCAGTAGTGCGCCATTACTGTCGACGCCGACTGCCGCTTAACAACAGAGAGAAGAAGAAACCGGAGAGTTCCTGTTCGCTCGTTGCTAGAGGACGTTGGTGTCACAGAGGAGAGCGGCTCGTCGACTATTCTTATTTTCCCCAAACTAGCCTCAGAGAAGAACCGAAACCAACATGTTTTCCCGTGCAGTGAGACCCACCGTCGGCCTGGCTCGGAGCCTGTCCACCTCCTCGCAGAACCACGCCAAGGTGGCGGTGCTGGGCGCTTCCGGCGGCATAGGCCAGCCGCTCTCCCTGCTGCTGAAGAACAGCCCCTTGGTGAGCCAGCTCTCCCTCTTCGATATCGCCCACACGCCCGGGGTGGCCGCTGACCTCAGCCACATCGAGACCAGGGCCCAGGTGAGCGGCTACATCGGCCCCGACCAGCTGGACGCCGCTCTGAAGGGCTGCGAAGTGGTGGTTATCCCCGCCGGCGTGCCGAGGAAACCCGGTATGACCCGAGACGACCTGTTTAACACCAACGCCACCATTGTAGCCACCCTGGCTGACGCTTGCGCACGCAACTGTCCCGAGGCCATGATCTGCATCATTGCCAACCCCGTGAACTCCACCATACCCATTACGTCGGAGGTGATGAAGAAGCACGGAGTGTATAACCCCAACAGGGTGTTCGGGGTCACCACCTTGGACATTGTCAGAGCCAACACGTTTGTGGCGGAGCTCAAAGGCTTGGACCCGGCTCGGGTCAACGTCCCGGTGATTGGCGGTCACGCTGGGAAGACCATTATCCCCCTGATCTCCCAGTGCACGCCCAAGGTCGAGTTTCCTTCCGACCAACTCACCGCCCTGACCGAGAGGATCCAGGAGGCCGGTACAGAGGTGGTGAAAGCCAAGGCGGGGGCGGGGTCCGCCACCCTGTCTATGGCGTACGCAGGTGCCCGCTTCACCTTTTCTGTCCTGGACGCCATGAACGGGAAGGAGGGCGTGATCGAGTGCGCCTTCGTCAGGTCCGAGGAGACCGAGTGCAAGTACTTCTCCACGCCGCTGTTGCTCGGCAAGAATGGCATCGAGAAGAACCTGGGGCTGGGCAAGCTGTCTGCGTTTGAGGAGAAGCTGGTGGCCGATGCCATGGGCGAGCTGAAGGCTTCCATCAAGAAGGGCGAGGACTTTGTGGCCAACATGAAGTAATCAGGAGCAGATTCAGTCAAGAAAACCAGCCATGATGGATAATTTGTTCGGTCTTACAAGGCATCAGACTAACTAAAGATTCATCAGTGTTTCCTCTCTTTTTCTGTTGGCAGTTGGGTCATTTTCTTTTATTTTTGTTTGACTTTTTTTTTTCCTACTTTACCAACCACAGCTTTCTTCTGTGTGTATAATTCGTGCCCATTCTCTACCGTACTGTGATTTGTTTTTCTGTTGCTAAATTTAAATGCAGTCTGTATTTGCATAGACTTTTCTGCTGTGAACAAGGAGGGAACGCTGTCATATGTCTACTGGTGCAAAAACGGTTGTTATTACTGAAGAGCAAAATATTCACTCCACCAATAAACAGATTAGCTTTAAAATGCTTCCTTTCCTTTACCTTTTTTGCATAATAATGGTTTAAAAGAGTGAGAAGGTCACAAATCAGCAGGTCTGGTCAGGTTTGTTTGCGCAGGGCCGGACTTTAGCAAGGACTTACCAGGGGCAGAAACTTGGGGACCCAAAATACATGTTGTATTCGTAGAACTGATGTGTCGCTAAATAGGTGTTAAAAAGCCCAAACACTGAGATTTTTATGTACACAAGTGAATTAAAACATTTGAAATTATTCGAGAATGATGTCACACACCCAATGTGTGTCAGTAACTGCGCTTTGTCACCGCACACAGGCCTGGGGTGGTTACTGTAACGTTTTTCATTTATTTTTATGGGTCCTAGAAATAATTCTGTTAACAGTTAAGTTTTGTTTCTGTGGGCTTTTTTCAAAATATGAACAGAGAAGAGGAGGAAAAACATCCCAAAGTCAGAACATCTAATAGCCTTTTATGGGATCCCCGCTATGTCCTGCAGCATTTTAAGGAAGTGCAAAAACAAAGATGAATTCACGAGAAGGCATACTGTTATAAAAGGCATGAAAACCACTAAGTGTATGTGTACCTATCAATCTGTTGCATACATAGAGACTGGTATAGATGGGGAACCAAAACTGGGCTCATATTCTTTTAAATCCAGCACTGAGGGTGGTAGCCAAAACTGGGATAAAAAATCAGAAAGTTTATGAACTAGAGTTTTTTGGAAATTCAGCTGAATAATTATAAATCACATGTGCACTGAACACATGAAGACATATACAAACAGTACCTAAAAAAAAAGATCTGACAAATGTATCATAAGCTGAACAGCTTTAGGAGCCAAACATTCTATGAATGAAATAAATGATTTCAATTACAATTACTTATCATAAATTATAGGAATTTACACTAGTTGATTATTAAACATGGCAGGCTATCAAGCACTGTATGACTTCACGAGATAACAGAACCATATTTGTTTCTCAACAAGCTAACGCTGGACTGTCTCAGCAGTTTTTAGGTGATTAGCGTTGTTGCTAATCAGCTAAGAACTAATCAGGGTTTATGGAGCTGGACAAACAACAGGCACAAATAGAAACCATTACAGCTTTATTTTACATACAGTTTTTTTTTTGTTCTGGTTGATGAGCTTTATTTGGAGCACAGAATCTATTTACACAAAAGGAGAGGAGAAAAAAAATAGTGCTCTGGAAGATTTAGCACTTCTTTGGATAAGCTTTGTTTTCATCCCAGATGTACATATTTCAGTTTCGGACACGGCACTCTGCTTTCCCTACTTGTGTCAGTATGAAGCTGGCAAGAGCTAATACTCATATTTTTTGTTCTTTACAAAATTTGCACCAGATAGATCTACACAACAAGTACAACAATAATAATAAACTGTTCTACACACAGTGTCTTGCAGAAGTATTCACGCTCTTTGAACTTTTTTTTTTCTTTTACATTTTGCCGAGTCACAAGCACAAACGTCCAGATATCTCATTTGGATTTTAAGGGATAGCCCAAAAAGTGGTGAATAGTTGTGAAGTGAAAGGTAACATGCTAAAAACGTTTCACTTTGGTCACATCCAACCAAAGCACCTTTTACCACTGATGTGTTCTGTACCTAATACTGCTTTGTTTCAACAATTGTTTTCTTCTTGACACTCATCCATTAAGATAGATTTTTGGAGTTACCTTGCTCCTCTTGACTGCATCTCGGATTTATATTCTCCTTTTCTGGCCTGTCAGTTAGCATAGACACCCATATCTTGGTGGAATTGCAGTGGTGCTATACTTTGCTAATTTTATGACGACAAAATAAAAACAGTGTATCACATGATTTTGAAAGCTTGGTTCACTGTTTTGTAACCTAACGCTACTTTAAAAGCCTCTATAACTTTATTACCGACCTTTGTCCTGTGCCCCTTGATCTTCCTGATGCTCTTTGTTCACTAATGTTCTCCAAAAAACTTTATTATAACCTATTCCTGTGTTATAATCAGATTAAGTTATGAAAATCTTGAGTTTATTTACAAATCAGGTCATATCGGAAAACAATACATTGCTTTGGACAATATCTTGTGACAATGTATTGTTGCTTATGGACAAAGCAACAATTGGAGACTGATGTGTCGCATCAGTCACTAATATGTGACTGATGTCTGATATGTGTGACTGATGTCACATATTAGATTAATGCAAGTGGCTCTATTCAAAAGTTTATTTGTAGAAAAAAGATAAAATTATAGATTTTCTTTTCATTTCACAATTTGCACCACTTTATGTTGATCTAGTACATAAAATCTCTGTAAAATACATTGAAATTTACGGTTGTAAAGCGATAAAATGCAAAAACCCCCCAAAAAAGTTAAATGGATGCAAGTACTTTTGCAAAGCACTGTGATGCTGTAAAATCAATCTACATTTGGAACCAAGATACACATCATTGTACCAAAGCTCCATTAAATAACCGTATGAACAAACACATATGTCTCCATCTTAGTCAGTTTGTCTGACAGTCCTCTGCAGTCACAGTGTTCCCAGTTTACAGACAGCAGTGTCGCCATAAAGCTTTCACGTCAGACACTTTGAATGGTGATGCAGTTTTTGAGATCAAAAGGGCTTATTACAGTCCATGATTAACGCTGATGTAAAAACGGTCTGTTGAAACCATACAAGTAGCAGCATCACCCCTGTAAGGAGGGGTCAAAAGGGGGAAAGATAGTGGGCGGGGGCAGGAGGAAGGAAAGGTTGGGATGTCATGGAGCGGGAGGGAAGAGGAGACAACCAGAGGGGGGGGGGGGACGGTCGTCGTCTGTCCCCAGCTTTATTGCACGAGGCCGTCTTCAGGAGAGATTGTCTGTGAGTCATGGCCTCTCCGGTGTCGGTTCTCTGTTTTGTTCCTGTTATCAGAGTCTTCCCGTTCGCCTGCATCCCTGTCCCGCTCCCGCTCCCGCTTCCTCTCCCTCCGTCCCTCCTGGCTCTCCTTGTCCTTGCGGTTGTTGCGATTCCTCCTCTCTTTTCGGTCGGACTTCCTTCGTGTTCCTGAAAAAAGAGGAAATTTGACATAAAGACAATCAGTGTGGTCCAGCTGAGTTCATTGCAATTCATACTAAAGTTATTTGTTGATGGGAATTTGGGAAGGATAAAAGTCATAGTTTCAGTGCATAAATTTGGTCTTATTAAAGAACAAAAAGAAAATGTCTGACATTAAACCACATGTTTACATTCATTATAATTATAACCAAGTGTAAGCACTATGGGAATATTGAGGCACCATACTGCTAACGAAGAATCGGGTTCTGGTGCTTTCAGATGAACAAACATCTGAAAGCAACTTCAAATTCTAACTTCAAACAGGAAATTAGAATTTAGGCACAAGTGGTTCTTCCAAATGGACAACTCAGTTCTTAGCTCTGTCCCTCATTTGTGGCCAGATCTGTGTAAACAACGTGGCCTATAAACCTGATTCAATTAGGCCGGTTCTGCCTGGAGGAAAAGACCCAACGGTCCGCAAAATATTGTGGAAATCTTGGAAACCAAAATGTTTTACCCAACATATAAAGTTTAAAAGACAGTCTTTAGAAAATGTATTTCAACTTCTGAATGTAAAGAAAACAAACAAAAAAATGATGAAGCAGAAGAAACTCTGCTAATCTCTGATTACCTAAATCAAGAACAATTTGGTGATACATCTTTTACACAGTATTTGTATATAATCTCCCTGACTGCATAAACCACAAAAACGGACTGAAACCCAGTCCTAACTCCAAATCAAAAGCATTGTTGATTTTTTTTTTTGTACCACTAGGTGTCAGTCTTCATCAACAAGTAGCTGCTCTGCTGTCAGCCTGTCAGCTATTGTGGCACTCTGCATGTGATGAGCAGACCTTTGTCGAAAATAGAAAGCCTTTAAATAACCCCCTCCCCCCCAACCCTCAATCCTTCACCCCCAATTTTATCTGTTCTTGCAACACTGTCTCATAAACAAAAGTGGGAGTTTTTGGAATGCTGAAGGTTTTATCTCTGCCTGAACCGTGGTTATTAATGATAATAACAAGATATACCCTCAGGGAGGTTGGAGACGGGACCCACGAGTGAAAGCAGAGGAGGCCCTTTCCTGTTGTTGTACGGGTGGCGCTCATGTGTGAGTGGAACGGAGCAGCACGGCCTGCTGTTGGCTGCCTGTTTGGGGATTGTGAAACTGCTGAAGTAGGCAGTGGGCTCAGACACAGGGAGAGAGAAAAAGAGAGATCTGTCTCTCCTGTCTGCAAGCTTTTTTGCCTCCCGCCTCACCCCCTACATGCATTAATCAAGGCAGGTCTCTGGTTGGATCTGGAACCAGGTCCGACTTAAGCCTTTTACACTGGTGCTACAAGAGTCTCCCTAACTACTGTGCAACATTTCCTGCTAGATGTTCTGAGGAGAAAAGAGGCCTTGAGATGGAAACGGGAACACAACAATGTTCAAGTGTTGACTGCAACAGATGGCTTGTTTTCAGTACAACAGAAGTGATAGCAAAGGGAGCCGGTTTCATGGATGGATGAGCCGATGGATAGATGGATGGACGGGGTAATCTGGTCCACTGACTCATCCAGGGTATGCCCTCATCCTCTATAAACACAGGAAGTCCCCTTCGCTCTCATTGTTTTCTCTGTCCTGACACCATAACTATTTACAAGTTCAGTGGATTAGTCATACTGTAGCCCCAGTGCTTTTGTTGAACCAGAGCAGAAACCTAATCCATGCCAGTGTTGAGATGATTAGCGGAGTGTTTATCAAGCCAACATAAGCTGATAGTTTGCTGGAACAGTTTCCGACAGGCTAAACGTAAACTGTGAGTGGATGTGCGGATAACGGTTCCTGAATGGGACACCTGTGTTGTTTGACATCATTTACCATAGACACTCAAATTTCCATTTGTTTTGAGTTGCTATCAAAAACGTGAAGTTACAGAGAGCTTGGCTTATTAAAAAAAAAAAAAAAATTTATTTATTGCTCAAAGGTTGAAGTTTGGGCTAACTAATTTTCTTGGAACCAATGTCTGTCTCATAGGACTTTATATCTGATGAATGATTAGGTGGCGATGGTGAAAGGAGTTCGATTCCGCGGATGAAGCAAGACACTTCATCCACCTGGCATCACCAGCGTGTGAATGTGTGCATGAATGGGAATGACTGATTTTATTGGAAAGCATCTTTACATTGCATTAGTGCAATAAGTTGTGAACAAGTTGTCTTGGTCATGCGTGATAGTAGGATAACTTGCGAGATGTGGTCACTGATCTGGTCTATTGTGGTGACAAAAGATCTGATCCAAAGTTTGTCAATTTACTGGTTTGTACCAAATGACCCTTAATCTTTAAGGTCTTGAGATGTGAACTGCAACTGAAGGAGCTGAAAGGCTGAAAGGGACATCCTCGGTATGAAGAACCAATGTAAGCAGCTTGAGGTGGAAGCACTGATTCTCAGCACTGGAAGGAAGTGGTTTGGTTCAAGAATATGATCTTCGGAGGTTTTCCGTTAAAGTAGCACTCCAAGAAGACCGTGGGACAGAATCTTCTGAAGGGTCTATAAGTCTCTTCTGATCTGGAAACACTTTGGAAGGAATACATCCATGATCCATTTTTGGACTGATTGAAAAAATATGGATATGTCAAGAAAACTGCAAAATTCTAATTGAAATGTCTGCTCCTAAATTTTATTTGTAGACAGCCACATTTTTTATTATTATTTTTTTTGTCAACACAGTTTATAAGTGTTTAGAATCTAATTTATTCCTGAGGCAGATTTATGAGTGATCAGCATATGACCTTTTAGGCTATGGTCAGATGTATTTTGGTCAAGATGGACAATGTTGATAATGAAAAGAGAAGGGTCCGATAACAGAGTCTTGAGGCACCCCTTGTTTAACAGTAGCAGTATTCAGAGTGTTATCAAATGTACCAAACTGCTTCCTGTTAGATAAATAGTACTTACATCAGGAAGGAGTTGTACTGGTCATGCCAGGTAGGGGATAACACAAGATGTATGAAAAAAACACTCTGATTGGTCCAACGTTTTTAAGTAAGAAGTAAAACAATGTGTGGGACAGTGTGCTCACACAGAGCAAGCTATCCACCAGTTCTACGGTTCTCTCAGAAATTATAAATACCAGTTGCAAGAACATGTTGCATTTGTTGTCTTGTTTCCCAGCCTAAGTTTATCTGTAACAGCAGCTTGTGGAAATCAAACACAAAGACACAAAGTAAGAACACTTGCCTGACTTCAGAACAAAGCAAAAATCTTTATAGAACGTGAAACCCCCAAAAAGGACAATGGAGGAAAAAGCTAAAGCGAAAAGAAACCCTCGGGGAAGTAATAACTGAAAAACCACCATGTTGTGTGTCGCTGACAGACAGAGAATAAGTGTTCAGAGGGATATTTAAAGAGACACTGTGGGTTTTATGTTGTTACATCCTCTGTGGCAGCCGTTCAGTCGGTGGGGGAGCTTTTGGCGGGAGACAGACCGGGATTAAAGGCCTTGGGCTGTCCCACAAGTGGAATGCCTGCTGCATGGCTGCCAGGATGTCACCGTGGGGGTTGTGAGTAATGCTCACTCACTCAGATATATACATACATGCTGAGTGGATGACTGGCGGTAGCTTGTATAGCTATATGTTTCTCAGTGTGTCTTTTTTCTGCATGTGTTGAGCCCTGCAGACAGACAAATGGTCCATCTGGCTACAGAGACCTGGAAGGTGAAGCCTAGTACCACCGAAGGACAAATTAGTCAGAAATCATTTGAGGGAAGACAAATGAGGATGTGTGGATATATGCATTCACAGTCATATTTTGATGAGGCGCAACTGGATGTCAGAGCTGATAGATCTGCACATAAAGGCCTGTGGGATGACAGCATGAGGCTTGAGAGGATCCTTATTATAGCTGTTGATTAATTATGCAAAATGAGATACTCAGCAGCTGATATAAAGATTAATGACATACTACAGACATCAGATTTTTCAGATTGTTTCATGAGTTCATTCTCAACTTTCTCAAACCTTATGTTCCTCGGCAAGAGGTATGCAAAGTATCAGTATCACCAATATTAACCCCAATCCCAGTACCGATGCCTATATATTTAAGTATGATATATCATCAAGATACCAACTTTTAAGAAGTTTTTTCTTTGGAATTATTTTTATAAAATCTGAGACAGATTTTAGATAAAGTTTATTAGGTGTCTACAAAATACTTTAATAACATAGACACAATAAACAGAACAAAAGAAATATTATCAATATTTTTGGATCAGTCTGCTCACTTCTAGTGCTTTGATGCGTAAATGACTCTAATAATTGAATTCCTCTTTTTCTATTGGTATCAAAACCACAAGCTTTATCAAGGGATCAGAGGTACATTTCTTTTCTTCTTGTGACAAAAAAAAAGAATGTGCCGAATTGTGAAATATGAGTCAAAGGAAACTTGAGGTTGATATCACTGCGGAAAGCCTGATTGGTGACCTCTAGAAAAGTAATAGTAATAAAAAATTGCATAATAAAAAGGAGAAGAAGATGTGAAAAAAGAAATAACATTTGCCAACTACAGGAAGAGGAAAAGGAGATGCAGGCTTTGGGGGAAGGGGTATAGCAGCTAAAGGAGAAAGCACAAAAAGAGGAAGAAGGGAAGAAGGATGTATCAGTGTTGGAGGGCTGCTGGAGGATTACTGGGGGCTCTCTGAGGTCAGGCCACTGACCCCCTAGCGTGTGCAGAACGTAAACACTGAGGAGAGGATGCGCCGAGGCAGATAATTAGCCTCCATTCACTGTGGAGTCTCTTGGAGATCAGGCAACTGAGTAATCATGAGGGTTGCTCTGATAAGAGCGGTCTGCTCTCTCCGTCTCACTCTGGTTGCATCAGTTTCAGTCGAATCCAAATTAAAGTGCCAGGTTTCGGTCTGAGGGAATCGAAGTGCCACTGCAGCGCTGATGGCTTTTCTTGGCGTGTGTCTGCACGAAGGTCGCGTGCGTGAGGGGATGTGCATTGAGATGCTGACAGACAGTGATTAAATGGGAGACTGAGGTTACGTTTCGCAGTCCAACTCATATCAGCTCTATAGCCCTGGAATTTGCGCGCCAAGAAGCGCGTGCAGTTGTCTGGCCTGTTTAAAGCACACACAGCCTAGCTTTAGCTGGGCATATATGTCCTGCTATTGTGTGTGTGTGTGTGTGTGTGTGTGGGGTGTGTGTGTGGGTGTGTGTGTGTGTGTGTGTGTGTGTGTGTGTGTGTGTGTGTGTGTGTGTATGGAGCAAATTATCGTGTGTGCATTAGCAGCTGTGGGGATAAACCACTACTGATCCCCTGGTCGCCTCGTGCCTCCCAAGAGGAGGATGTTGATGTTGAGCTGGCTGTCTCTGCTCCAGAGCCAACTGCTTTTTGCCGCATCACACAAACACACACGCAGACACACACATGCATACAAGCACAGTGTTTGTTCTGTAAGTGTGAGGCCCCAAAGGACTGGATCTCAGCCTCCTACCCTGTCTGCAATCTGTCATGTAAAACTGCAGAACCCCCAGAGGAAAAAAACACAACCTGCCGTAGCCGACAACCGACCACCTCGGTGCCCACAATTGCAGCAAAAAAAAAAAAAATCCAAGTGGTTGCAGACTTCAAAAAGACGAACCTCGTCTGAAAGCAGTTTTCACCCTGTTAAGTAGAAATCATCATGCTATTCCCTGTTTACTGAGAGCACAGAGAGAGGCTTTCACTGTTTCAAACCTAAAGTGGGGTCTGGAGAGGAAAAAAATCCCCCACAAAAAATACAGGGTGCCCATTGTAACATTCCGCAATGGGCACCCCTCGTGTTTGCTCCCCCCACTGTCCTGACTGCAGCCACAATGACAGTCGTCTGAGTAAACAGTCAGAGTCCTGAGCGGAAGACAGGCTTGTTCTGGTTGTACAAACTGAAGCAGAGCAGTCTGGAATGCAAAGAGCTGAAACTGAGCCATGTGTTCCAAACACAGCGTTGGCAGTGAACCTGTAGGATTGGGAGCAATTACCATTGGCTGGATTGGTGCCTTTAATTGATACGAACAGCTTTTAGGGTCACATTGGCCCAGAGGGTTCTTTAATGAAGAGAGAGACACAGCGAGGGGGTTTTATTTACCTGGACATCTCTTTTTCTTGACCAGACACTCTTTGACCTCAGAGATCTCTGGGCAGGGATTGCCAAATGGAGATGGATACTGCAGGACCTGCCTTGTGCGGGTCTCCTGGCCCCGTCTGAAGCCGCAGGTTCTGCCCGACCGTGAGCAGGGGCTCCACTCACTCCACTCGCCCACCTCGCAGTGCACTAACAGAGGAAACCCGGAAACGGAGAGGTGTCAGTGAGGACTTAGTTTGTCTCCTTTTCTAAAGCACAAAGTCTTTTCATCCATCTAAAACATTTTCACATACTGAATGTGCTTTAAGGAGATTTGGCATTGGCAATTCGCTATTCTTTGATCTAAGCCACCCCATTCAGCTTTCTTTCAGCATCACCCTGGATGTATATAGGATTTTATGTCTTCCAACATAACATCCATTCTTTCATAAAGGACAGATTTACGTAGATTTACACAACACAATCTCCCTGGTGACATATTCTTCGACCTGAGCGGTAGATCGATATCGCCGCTCCACAGTGACCTCTCCTTGCTTAGGTTTAGGTTGACAACCATGTCTTAGTGCATTTATGTACATAAAACTAGACTGAATTTATTAATTAAAACTTCCATAGGTAATCAAAGCATTTACTTGTTTTTAGAACTATCTCAGTAAAGGTGTCAAATATGTTGAAAACCAGGTATTACTTTTCCCAATCAAGCACTACTGTTGTGGTCGTTTATGCCCAGTGTCAATGAAAGACGCAGGTGCATCTCAATAAATTACAATAATACTTATTTCAGTAAAACAGTTAATTAATTTGACTGATATTTTCAAACCTTTATTTCTGATAATTATAAAAGTTTTCCACTTAAAGTTGAAGAAAACTCAACATTTAAGATTCAAATATGACATACGGTAACATCAACAGAAAACACTATCAAAGAAATTGGGGCTTAATGTTGGATCAGTCTGAAGCCTGTAAAATCTGAAAAGTATATATATCATACCTGCTTACATATTGTTGCTGTTTTGCTGGGTTTTTTTTTGTTCTTTTGGTATAAAAAATTAACCTCATCTTAACCCAAATTCCAATTCACTGTGGTCCATGTTTGCAGTGAAACATAACTGTGGATGAAAACACCTGAAAAAAATCTTATTTGATGCAAATTACAGACCAAATACTTAGAAAGAATCTCCATGAGGCATGCTTTGGGCTTTAGGGATTTTGACGTGCACTTGGTATTTGCAGGCCTTTTGATGTTTTTTTTTACTTGAAATTACAAAATGTTCACAGATTTATGTATAAAAAGAGGAAAGGAAGCAAACTTAATAATTGTTAATGCTACTTTCTGGAGATTGGTGACATAAACTATGTCACTAAGCATACATATCCTGTACAAATATGTAAATTCAGCCTGTCGTTGATGTTCCTTTTTATATTGCGTAGTTATTGAAGAAATTTTTGGACTGTTCTTTGTGCAGATGCGCTAAAACTCCTTCCCCGGATTTACCTTGTGGTGTGCACTCCATTAGTTTGTCATTGGACTCATAGTCATCTGGACAGATATGGTGGCACCTTCCATTCAGCTGATAAAGGCCAGGCCGGCACCGGGTGCACGTGTCACTGTTCACACACGATTCACACTCCGCAGAGCATCCTGCAGGCACCGTCACACAATTGAGCTCAGCAAACCTCAGAAAATACCACTATTTTTCCATAAGCCTTGAAAAAAGTAAAAATGAGACACTCACTGAGAACGCACTCCCTCTGTGCGTCACTGTGGACCATGCCTACAGGGCAGCTGTCCAGGCACTTGCCCAGGTAAAGGTAGAACCCCGTTCGGCAGCGCGTGCAGAAGTTTTTGTTAAAGCACGAGTCACACTCCGACCTGCACTCTGATGAAAAAAAAACAAAAACACCATCAATGATTATTAAAACACCTGTAGGTAGGTTGAGGTTTCCCTGGCAGGTTGTAGCATCACACTTAACCTAATTAAGTGACACACAAAGCAAGTTTCCTCAGCACATTTGTTCATATGGCCATGTTAGAGTTAGTTTTAGAAGTAAATAAGAGCAAATGCCGTTGGTATACCGCAAAATCTGAAATGCCTACAGAAGAGTTCGTAGCACTTGAACATTTCCTCATATTTTCACATCACTACCAAATATAGAGTGATGTGGTCACTATCATATAAAGTATTAATTTACCAGTTACTGGACTGGTAAATTACAGTGCAATTCATTGCACTGTATTTCTTTAGTGTAAACAGAGCTGAATAAAAATGCAAACTATAAAATTTCAGTAATGTGCAATTTGAAATGCGACAAAATGTAAAAAAAAAAAGAAAAAAGAAAAGCTTGGGGTATGTTTAATGATTCTACTATCCCCTCTACATAAAAGACATAAAAGAAAATTCAGCACAACGCTGCTATCCTTCAGTCAAAGTTGGGTGTAGACTCCAGCTGAAGCACTCCATGGGGTCTCTGTCCAGCTGTTCCTCTCTTTTTACTCACTCGTACAAGTGTTTCTCTCAGGGGAACGGGTGCCGTAAAAGCCCGGAGGACAGGAAGTCATGCACACCCCGATCTGTTTCATCCCGATCCTCTCCAAATGCATGAAGAGACGAGGCTTGCAGGACAGACAGCCATTGTAGTCCGAGCAGGTCAGGCAGCCACTCTGCTGGCACCCCGAGCTGCCACCGGTCATCACTGTAGACAGAAGCAGACGACTTTCGTCAGGATAGAGGAAACGCTAAGATTACATCTGAGAAAAGTGCAACTCCCAGGGTTTGACCAGCCACATGGCAGCTTGTTGATTAGTTTTACAAGTTCTGTAAGAGGCAAAATGTGGCATAATTCAGTCTCACACTTTCAGATGCAGTTGAGCTGAAAAATGCAAGACAGGTTAAGTCCTGATTTTGTCAAACATCAAATAGTGTCACTTAGTCAACAACCGAAATAAAAAATAAACAATCTTTGGATGCCCCTAACCAGACAAAAGAATGATTAGTTAACTTAGTCAGAATGTGGTCAGGCATCACAGCTATTAGCTGGAGACACTTTAAGCTTTTGAGATACCGAGCTGATTAAAACATTGCAAACAGAAGATCTGCATAAACTCCTTTGTTCAATGTATATGTGGCATTTCTAAGCTGTGATGCTGTTGTCCAAAAAATTGGTGAAAGCTAAATTACCAGATGTATGGAAAGGCGGAACTTGTGTATCGTTTACCAAATGCAACATAATTCACAATGTCATTGAAATGAACGGCAGATACAAAACAGAGTTGAATATATTACATATAAATATCATCATAAGTGGCAACGTGTCCCACACAACTAAGAGCCAGTCTGATAACTTTGATTTTATTTTGGAGTGAAAATGAAAATACAGATGTTTCAAAAAGTGTATTTAAGTCTTTCCGAAATGACACGACTGTGCACACGAGACCCCTCTGCATTTCAACCTTGGAGGGAACAGAGCAGTATAGCTGCTACAAGTTATGTCATGAAATCAGGCTAAGTACGTTGATCATGACGGTGAGGCCTGAACAATAGCATGCATAATGCAGCATTTCAGCAGTAGTGAGCATTAGAGTAATGGTTTCTCTTTACCTGAAGGAATGTTCCTGATGGAACATCCCAAACCTTAGATGTCAAAATGACTAAGCCAGATTCAGATAAATTATGGAGTAAAACAAAGTCCACAGATCTTTTTCACATTAGATAAAGAAGTCTTTTATTGATGTCAAGGTATACCAAGGTCAAAAATGTTCTGATTTTGAAAACACTTGAACCTTTATGTCATATCCATCCTTTGATTTGAAGTCACAGAAAGAGTCAAAGGATGCGTCCAATCAGTGCCACCTACCGCATCATATTATGTGCTAAAACAGCAAAAAAATACTTCTCCCATTTCATGTTACTTGGCCTAGTTGAGTTAATTTTCCGTCTCCATCCCTAATGATGTTTATAAGGTACAGCAGTGCGTCATGGTAGGGTTTGGTTTTCCTCTGTCATCCTAGCATCACATGGAAATGCCTTATAAACTTTGTGCAGCCAGTTCATCATAGATCATAGACACTTTGTTTGAAATATCCTGACTGTCTTTACAAGAGCCGTCCACTGGCCGACTTGCATTCCTGCTAAGCTGCTCAGAGACAGGAATTCAGCCAGGCTAACCCTCAGCGAGACTGCCTGCATCTCTGTAGCGCACCATGGAAGTCCAATAAATGGGAAATGAACAGCTTTCCTCTTTGTTTGAATTATGAAATGACAGAAGAAACACTTAAGCAATTGTGTTATATGAAAAATGTAAACCTATTTATCTAGGATCGTTCACATATTGATGTTTGATCTTATATTTTATTTGTATCTGGAAGACAAAGCGATTTAAATGCATTTCAACAACAAAAATGAACTTCCTTTTATTCACAAAACATGTTTTTCTAAGGAAGAAATTGAAGATTCAGGATTTGTAAATGTCTGAAATGACTTCAATGAGAAACGTATTGAAACGACAACAGGTCTGAAGTTTGCACCTCAATGAAATCAAGGTCTTGATTTTGATTCAGTTCTATTTCTTCATTTGGGTCAATTTTTATTTATTTATTTTTTTTACACATGGTTCCCACATTTTATGAAACCGTGCTCTGATGTGATAAAATTCATGGTGGACTATGTGGCGGCAGACTGTCGAGGTGCTGCTGCAGCAAAACATCCCCAAACCATCACACTCACACCTCCACTTTGTTTGTGGCAACATCTGATGTCCAGATGTTTGAGTTGCAAGTAGTCCTCATCAGAAATACATCTTTTTGGAAAAAAGATGTTACAAAAAGTTTTTGATTTATTTATTTTTTTCAGTCTTGTTATGATTTATTCATCCTACTTGGGTTATTCTGCATAGCTCATCTTAAGTGTCCAAACTTGTCACAAAAATGCGTTTCTTAACAAGAGTGTATCTCTCTTCTACATTGTATCATGCAAACATCACCAATGACACATACACACACGCACTACTTGAGCCCTGAATTAAAATTTTTTTCATAGGCATCATCATCATTATTGCACACCGGAAGTTTGTGGCTTGGGTTCTGTCTAGCGCTTGGTAATCCTGCTTTGTTAACTGAGAGGTCATTGACTCTCCTCTGAGTCCTTTTCCCCTTTTTGTCCCTCCTGGTTTTCACTCGTTCCCCAAAACAATCCCTCCAACCTACCTAAAAGTGTAGGATATCTGCATCCTTGGAGGGAGTTTGTTAATGTTAAATTAACTATTTATTGGCCCATGGAAAGGTTAGGTGACTGCACACTATTCTCTCATCTACCAGGCAGAATCACATGGACCAAGGGATGCTTTGAAAGGCAGCTGAATGGGATCAGACTGAAAACACTCTTTGTTTATTTGTGTTGGACAGCGGTCGCCTTAAGATTTGTCTTCTGCGCAGAATGCCGCAAAGCGTACTCTGTTCTTGAGGAAAACTATCATAAACCAAGGTTTTGTCTACATGACCTTCCTGTTTGCATCCTGCCAACCCTGTTCAGAGGAAGGTCTTAGTGCTGGTTAGAGGAAATAAACAGCTAAGGGTCCTGAAACCTCTAAGAATACAAAGAACGCCACATATTTGTACACGCGACACCGTTTATGCTCCTGGTCTTTCAATGCTTGGTCAGTTTCAGTCAGTTATCAATTTAATGTGGATTTTACTGATAGAGCTTCACATATCTTTCACATATCTTTGCACCAAAGAGCAGGCCCATGTTTCATTTATTCTCAGTAGAAACACAGCAGTTTTATTGAAGAACATCAGTGACCAAACAGCAACATGAAGACCAGACAGGGCAGGGAGAAGTTTAGAAAAAAGTTAGAATCACGATTTGGTTGTAAAGCAATGTTACAATCTTTACTCTTCAAAAACACAACTTTTTACCAAGTATTTTTGGTCTAGTTTCTAGTTTAAATATCCTAGTACTCTTGGAATAGACAAAAATAACTTACAACTAATTTTTCTACAAACAACAGGAACTTGTTTGAAGTCAATTATTCTCTAGTATTTATAAAACGTGTGAGTTCCAGAACTTCATTGCCTTGTTATAAGTGAAATAATATTTTTTTGTTGATGAAAAAGTGATTGATACATTTTCACCAATATTGAGAAACCATTGACTTAAAACAAGCTTTTATATTATGCTGACAAGTTACTTATAAGTTCGTACTGACTTATTTTAAGTTTACTGAGAGTTTTGCTCTTGGAACGTGACTAAAAATACTTGCTAAGATTTTATTTTTTAAATCTGCCTTTTATGAAATAGTGAAAAGTTAAAAGCCACAGCTGGAAGAAAGAAATAAAAAGTTCCGTTTTCGGTAAGCCATGAGGGATACAGAGAACATGTGGACGAGGTTTCGCTACACCCTGCATCCACAGTCCCTGTGTTTAAACTTGGTGGTGGAAGCATCATGCTGCGGAGATGCCTTTCTTCTGCAGGGACGTGAAAAGAAGCTAGAAACTGTTGAGAAGATGCATGAAGCTAAATAAAGGTCAATTCAGGACGAACACCAAATGGTGGACTCTGAAAGACGTGAGACTAAAGTAGATGGAAGCATATTCACATATTAGAACGGCTCAGTCAAAGTCCAGATCTAAAGGTGACTGACAATGTGAGAAGGCATTTGAAGGCAATGTTCACCCAATATTTAGACTGAGCTCGAGTTATGTTTCAAATAAGAATGAGCAAAACTAAAAGGTTCTTGAGTCAGGGAAGCGGAGTACAAATGCATGCCACACTTTTCAGTTTTTGATGGCCAAGAAATAAGAAGGCATGCATAATTGGGAACAGACGAAATGAGATATGGCTAGTTTTGCACTTTTGGCACTGCACTGGTGGTCATTTCAAACACATTTCAAGTAAAGAGCTATCCCTGCTGTCCAAATCAGATCTTCATCAAATCAACTTCTCCACCCCAGGTGGCACGGATGAAAACATCACTCCAAAGCTCTGTCACTGCAGATCACAGGCAGCTTTCAGATATGCTGACGAGTGATACGTGGAATATTCCAGTTATCGCTGCTCACCTCAAACAGAATCAGTCATAGAGCCCATCTGGAGACCCTCAGTGATGCAAAGTGCGTGGGCAGAATAGAAAAGAAAGAAAGAAAGAGAGAAAGAAAGAAGAAAGAAAGAAAGAAAGAAAGAAAGAAGGAAAGAAAGACAGAAAGAAAGAAAGGATGAAAAAGCTTTATTTCATACTTATTTCAGAGAAGAGAGACCTGGTCAGAGCCCAAGAAATGAGACATGATGTTGGACTTCTGGGAGATAGATGGGAGAAGAAAAACCAGCAGAGCCTGGATGGAGCATCTCCTCACTCCTGCTGACAGCCTTGCAGTAACAGTCACAAGACGACTTCAGATGATATGACCGCAGCCATCCTCTGTGAGAAATATCTCCCAACTTCGAGCAACGAGATGGATAGCAGGATATTCAACTCGCGGTGTCTGGACTGGATAAAGTTCGTGCCTGAAATCCGCTGCGCTCGCCGCTAGAGAGCGACGCAGGAAGCTGGAGCTGGAGCTCAGAGCGGCAGCTGCTGGGCTGCAAGTGGCTCCACGCTCGTTCAATCAACCCAATTAAGCGCAATCACAATACAGCAAAGGCGGCGTGACAGAAAGTTGTGCAAAAAACAAAACAAAACAAAACAAAACAAAACAAAAAAAAAAAAAAAACGGAAAACAGTCTCCGGATGGAAAATGCTGCAAATGTCATTGTCAACATTGCATGAAACGCAAAAGAAGGAAAACAAGACAGTGCGTTTCAGACGCGTCCTGGAGCTGATTCAGTCCTGCGGGAAAACAAATGTTGGTGAATGAGTTACAAGTGTAAAAATAGTCGACACAAACCTAAATAATAAACGTTAATCATCCGGACCTGGAAAAAAAAGAAACAAATAATGAATGTTGGTTAAATTTACAAAAAGTTACACGATGATGCGGAAAAGTTACCATGGATTTCTAAGTTAAAAACACAGACAAAAAAAGGAAGGAAGAATTTGAACAGCATTCCATAAATGAATGAATAATATATTTATATATATTTTTTTTCTTCCAACCATATTTTGACCTTCCTATGGAAACGTCAGACAGCCTGCAGATCTGCTCACCTTTGTGCTGCCGGTGCCTGGAGCTGCTGTGCGGCTGACAACCAGAGTAATCCATGCAGTTCCAGATGATCAGAACAAAGGAAATCAGTTGTAATTGCATAGTAGCCCAGAGGTGAGACTCCTAAAGCCAATGTCAATGTTCAACCAAAACAAGTCGGCGTTTCTTCTTCTTCTTCTTTTTTTATTTTTGTGTGTGAATATTTTCCTCCTCCTAAAGAGGCTGAAGCTCGGGAAACTCCTAAACGCAGCAGGACGCAGCCCAGCTGTGTGGCGTTATGTGGTGGCTGCAGCGTACGGTGGCCCAATGATCCCTGGGCCGTTTAGACTGTAACATCCTGGATGGGGTCCACATATGTGCCGAGAAAATAAGTCCTCGTTAGAGGTCCGTTATCCGTTCAGAGATGGAAAACATTTCCTTTAAAAAAAAAAAAAAAAAAAAGCAGGGCGAAGGAGAAAAAAACGCGCTAAAAGAAACAAACTCCAATTTCATTTGTTGCGCACATACGCAGAAACAGAATTAGACATCTATATGTAAGTTTTTTTTTTTTTTTTTTTTTAGGTAAACAGATTCTAAGAAGGCTTTAGTGGAACACCGAATGAACCTGAAAAGTTAAATCCATTCGTCCGAACTCCAAATTAGGGAACCCTCTCCTCTCCTCTCATCTGGTGGAGAGATGCGCCGCGCGTCCCAGAGTGTGTGGCTACGTTCACTGCGTGAGGCGCGCTTATTCGGCTCAGCATCAGCTGGAGGACTCACAGGCGCAATCAGATAAAGTAAAACAGGCAAACAAATAAACACAGACAAAAAACTAATAATAATAACAAAAATAAAATAAAATAAAATAAAATAATCTCAATCAGTATGAGGAATCATTCAAACTGATCTCCCAGCAGAGAGTTTCGCAGGTCTTGTAAAGCTGACACCTCCTCCTGCTGCTGCTTCGCCGTGCGTCAACCAAAGTAAATCTCCGCAGTTTCAGCGTGTTTCTGCTTTGCGTGCAGGACCCATTCACTCCCTTGATGACTTCAGCCTTCTGCTCTCTCTCTCTCTCTCTCTCTCTCTCTCTCTGTCTCTCTCTCCCTTCACTCTCTCTATGAGCTCTAAAGTTTATTTAGAGGGCATGCCCCCCCTCATCCTCCCCGCGTCAGAGAGAGGCAGACGCACTGAACGGATTCAGATGCGCGCTGTGCTTTCTCTCATTCCTCCTTTGAGTTTGCTGGTGCTCATCCGCAGTCTGAATGTGGAAATGATTGTTTGGATTACTGAACTATTTATGCTGTTCAGCCTTCAAACCAAGAGCAGCTCAGACCGAGGTGTGGTAAAACACAAAAGTTTTACCACAGACAAGAAAAAAAAATGGTAAAGAAATCAAAACTGCCTGGTTATTCCTTTTAACTGAATGATGAATTTATGCTGTGATCTGTTTGATATGCACCGAATGCGCATATCACCATTAGGAGTACTTGTGAAAGAAAAAAAAAAGTTGTCAGCTGCACATCCGGTCAACGCGGAGTCTGCAGCCCCAGCACCTGCCTCCTGAAGCTGAAGTTGGTATGTGATTCTCAGCTTCTAATTTGCTATTAAACACTTGACGCACTCAATTTTATTTACTTATTTATTTTTTGGTAGTTATTGAATTCTGTAAAAAAAAAAATGTTTTTAATTTAGATTTTGTTTTTTTCATTTGCTGAAACACAATCAGTGGGACTTACCATGCATGGCTTGTGCGTGTGGCTGTTTTGGTGGCTCGGAAAGGCGGGGATTCCCCTGGACTCCATTTATTCAGCAGCTGTCTGAATGTTGCTGGAAGATTTGGCGAGCTTTGATCGCACATTTGTTCAAAAAGCAACGGCGTATTTATTTGGGTTAGAGGAAAGACTTGACATCATTCTGGACAGATGCTGTGCAGGATGATGCTCTGCAATGATGTCGGCACTCAGTGGCTTGTGTTACTGACTGCAGTTCACAGAGGAGGAGTTTATTACATTAGTCTAATGGATTCAGGCCTCAAACCTTAGGCAATTGTGAACAGGCACCATGTAACACAGTGCTATGTGCTAAGTAATGTGATGTAAGTCTCAATAAATACTGAAACCATTGACCTGAGCACAAATATGACAAGCTTAGTGATGCAGGTTATATACAGTATGTGTTTTTGTTTGCTTGCTTGTTTTTTGACCCTCTCTTTGGTGTCTTGCAGTTGTGTTCACTTTGACTCATTAATCCAACCACGTCGTGTTAAATCCAGGATTACATAGGTCTGTATTTTACCGGGTTAGCAAAAATAACCTGCACTGCACTGATGTTGACCTAGCAGTTTTTAAAGTGCACTGTCCTCCAAAGCAACACGAGCCGACGAATAAAAACTCTTTTATGTCATTCGAATCTACTTTTTCATAATTACCTTCATTTTAATGAATAAAATGAGCAGAGAAAGTTCAATTTAACTTGATGTTTACAAAGTGGGATTCTTTTTCCCCCACAGATCCACCATATTTGTTATTTCTACTTCTATTCATCTTCACAATCATTTATATAAAGTTATAACATTATAACATTATAACATCATCTAATTGATTGTTTTTTTTGGGCATGGCTCATGAGTTGAAGAGAGGGGAAAAAAAATCCCTGGAAGCGCCAGAATTTCCCAGTACCACCTCTAGAGGGAGTTAACTCCATTAAAAGCTTGAGATGAACTTCAGCTCTTGATTCCCTCTCTGATGATGAGTCCAGAAATGCAGCGTTATTTCTCACATCGGGCACACGCAAACCAATTCTGGTCTGACTTGAGAGAGCGTGCGGACTCAGAGAACACAGGTGAGACGGGATACTCCGGAGGTGAAGTTTCTCGAACGTGCAGGGAGGGACCCTGCAGGTCTGCTTCTGGAGACGAGGCGAGTGGAGAGAGGGAGGGCCAAAGGCCTCATCTGTCTAAGTAGAGTGTTGATGTTTAGAGGGAACAGTATGCACGACTCCAGTGCTTTTCCTCACTGTGGCTTCTGGTCTTCCATCAGTCACTGTGCTGAGGAAAGCAATGCAAACATTGTGTGGGTTTTCTTTTTTTCTTCTTCTTTATGGGAATACTTCCCTGTTTGCCCTGTGCTAACTCAGGACCAGGACACGGAGACAGAGCAGAGATTGATGCATTGTTTTAAACTCCTTCACCTCCGCACAGGCAGACCTCTTAATCCAAACTCTGCCAAGGGATATTAAGTGAAGTATTGTGCAGCTAATGCACACTGAAAATTACAAGCTGCCGCTTCACTGCCTTTAAAAGTAAACCGTAGCTCTTAAAATGCATCACATTGTGGAACATAATGTCACGTATGAAGCTAAATTCGTTTTTGCACAGAAAAGGGGAGAAATTTTGAGATAAATTCTCAAACCTCCGTTCGTCTCTGTGCCGTCTGCGGATCGGTGGAGGGGATGTGGAGGTATAATGCTCGTCTTTGTGCCCTAGACTCAACAAGCTCCACCAGCCCCCACTGGTAGCAGCGTTCATGTGTGTGTGTGTGTGAGTGTCTAGGTGTGTGTAGGTGCAGTGAGGGGTGTGGAAGGTTAAGGTCACTTGGTCAGTCCCTGTGATCGGCCCATGAGAGAATCAGTCGACACCTGTAAATGAAGTCTGGCAGGTGCACAGAGCCGGCCGACCAAGGATGGATACACGTTACAAGTTTTTTTCTTCTTTTCTTTTTTTTTTTTCCTTTCAAACTACACCTTGTTCTATTTTAGCCCTAAACTAATTTAGGTGTTGTTCTCACAGACTGGTGTATGGGGGTTCATACCAAGAGCGCCGATGCCGGAGACACAACGATGGTCGGGAAAAACATAATGTCAAGTTCATAATTGTTTCTTTCTTTTCTTCAAAATAATCCATCCCTGCCTCCATTTTCAGTATCTGCTTAACAATGACTCAACCCTTTCAGGACGTCTTTCTAATGGTGAGACAGTTTCACTTTGGCAGCTGAAATAATTATAAGGGCATGTGAATTATCAAGAGGAATTTCATTTATTTACTTTTTTCATATGCACACATCATATGTTTTGCAGCTGAGGCCCTGCATATTTTTTTCAAACTGTAAATTATTTTCATTATTTTTATAAATCTCAATTTTTTGTGCCCTCATGTGGACTGGGAGTACTGAGATGAAGATTGCATGAAATTATCATAGCTTAATTACTGTGAGTGACAAATGTGAAAAACTTATTGATTTTGGCAAAAAACAATATGAAGAAAATTGTTTTCTTTTTCTACTTGTAATATTATAATACTGAGAGATTTACAAGCTGATTGGTTGGGCTATCTGCTTAGTATTTTAAAATGTTCGCCTAGCAATGCTTTAGAATCTTCTTTTGAATTTTGCCTGCGTTAATGTTGACATTGCTGCTACTTACACGTGCAGAAAATATCCTACGTCACGCACAATTTGAATCCCGGAGAATTCAAGGATTAGAAATGTAGGGGAAGTGTGTACATTTAAAGACGCAGTCAAAGCTAGCAGAATGGCTACAGCAAAAGTTAGCTTTTGCACTGCAGCAAAGTTTTATCCTCAATTGTGTCAGAGTTTTTATTTGTGAGACAGTAACAACAACTACGACCTTGTAGGGTTCTGAATAATTTCCATTATGTAGCAGCTCTCATATCCACATGGTTTCTGCTTCATCTTTCAACACAAACGCTCATCTACCTTCATGTCAACTCAACCTTTTTTTCCAGTGCTGTGTGGATAATTTGCTGTTGCATTATGAAAACCCTTTGGCTGTGATCTCTCGTCGATGTTAGAAAATCTCCATTGCAGCCCTTCAAAAAGAACTAAGGAGGCCATAAAGCCTGGTGTGTAAAACACAGCAGTCATTCCCCGTGTTTCAGCTATTTATAGGCTGCATAAGAGCCCTGTGACATTGCAAAAATCCCATAACCTCAACATAAACAGACATGCTACTCTTCTAATCCTCGGCCGCCTCAGAGCGGTGAACATACAAGGACACTGCAAAGCTCGCGCCTCTGATCTCCAAACTGCTCATTCCCTCCACCGCTCATGACTCATAAAATTCTCAGGTGACAGTGACAACCACCACGCTGTCATCGACTGACGAATTAGGCCCAGCAACGGACGGAGCGAGCCTCACCAAGGCCTGTGAAAACATTGGAGTCTGTGGCATTACAGCTTGTTTCCTTCTGACAGGGCAACAGCTAAAGAGCCAAATACACCAGTGGTCATCTACACCTAAGAGTGTCGCAGCAACACCAGCGGAAGAAAAAATCACAACACTGAAATTCAACTCGATTTCTGTCAAACATGGTGGCGGCAGCATCATGTCGTGTGGCTGCTTTCAGCTCCAGGGAAAGAGAAGATGCAAAAAGATGAGATGAGATGAAGATTGATAAAGCAACGAAAAATGGACTGAATTCCTTTAGCACATTTCTAGTCATACTCACCACATTAGGAACCCTAAGCTAGGAAATAGCTCAGGGTTCAGTGCGTTGCCCAAAGCAACGTCAACATGTGACTGGAGGAAGCTGGAATGAACCCTCAAGGCAACCAGTCT